CTTTGCTTACCCAGTTGCTGGGGAGGATGACTGAGCAGGAAGTTACTAGTATGCATTAGCTACTATGTTACCACTCCTAGGTGCTTAGTTCCTCAAGTAAGTAGAGCTGGGGAGCTCTGCAGAGGGGGCGCCTATGCCTGTTCCTAACCCGCCCCCGCTCCGCAGCCACCCGCTCTGCACTCCGGTCCCATCACCCGCAGATGGAGATGTGGGCAGGCCCGCGAAGGGTGCAATGCACCCAGCGAGTAGGCTGTTTCCCTGTCATTGTTCCCGCAGCAGCTCAGTACAATGGTTTAACGCCGGTTACACAGTCTCGGTGCAGTGAGTAACCGGGAGCGCGCTGAGCCGTGGGAAGATGAGTAGGCTGCAGGCAGAGACGGTACCATTTTATATAACGGGCTTGAGCAGCCTGGTTCTGTATCCGCGAGGGGAGGGATCCTGGGAACTGTCTCCGCAGCATGGCTCTCCGGGCACAGCTCTATTCTTTACGCCTCACTTTTGGACATTTTTTTACCTACTATCCTAATCCTGAGGTTGGGGGCGGTTAGTGAAACAGCTGGGTACAGGCAAGTGACAAGGAGAGCCAGGAAGCCAGGAGAGGCACAGGCACTGGGGACAGGGAAGGAGACAGGTTCAGAGCCTGCTGGTAGCGCCTACTCTTTTCTAGCTGTTGGGGTTGTTTACAGCCCTTCTAAAAATGCAGCAAAAGCCACGCAGGAAACCGTCTGCTCAAACGCCATGCGCCTTGGCCTGGGGTGCACGGGCAGCCTGGGGTCTGCCATACCCTATGATTCTGCAGCCCTTTCAGATTAAATTTTGAAACAGATCTTGGTATTTATCAGTGATGTCGGGGGGAACTGATTTCATAGTAATGAACTGTGCCCCTCTTTGTGTTTCAGGTCAGAAGTCACCATAGACAGTGTTCTGAATTTCTTTAGAAGTTAAACAGTTGGCAGATTTCTGGTTGCTGGCACAGTCTCATAGATTGTTCAGTTGGCAGTAAGCATCAGGGGCTGTCACTGGCTGGGCACTATGTGAAAGTACTTCATAGACAGAGCCCCAGGGAGGGGGCAGTCTCTTTTCCTACCACTGTAAGTGGAGAGTAAGGGTAAATCAGGGCTTCCCATGTGGGCGAGGATTATACGTAGGAACCTTATTTAGTGGGCACCAACTTTCCAGTGTGACCAGTGTCCTTGGGACACTTTATAGATGAACACCTCAGCACCTGCTCGCTGCCCCTGCTGCATTTCACACCTGGGTTCAGGCTGAAACCCAGACAAAGCCCGGGCCAGGGCTAGACACCAAGGAGGTCTCCAAGCTTTGTGTGTCTGCGCCTTGGTCTGCGCTGGAAGTGCGCAGTGAAAGGAAGGAGTGGTGAGGAGGAGGAGGACAATAGGGAAAGTCTTGCCCAGAAGCTAGGAGTCCATGGCAGCTCTGAGAAGGGACCCTGGTCAAATGGGACTGCCCAGGAACCTTGGCTCCATCTCTCCACTGGTGACCCCCTTGAACACCCAGCCTCTCTGCAGTCAGTCTGGTGCTGAATACGAGGACTTGAGACACCTCAAGTAGTGTTTACTTGTGCCTCAGTGGCAGATCCACAGTGTCTTGATATTAGATGGCTTAGGAAGGCCTTTCTGGGTGTGGTGATGCAAGCCTGTAATCCCAGTGCTCAGGAGGCTGAGGCAGGGGGATTGCTAGTATGGCTAGTATGCTTTATGGCTGGCCTGGGCTATGTAGTGAATTCAAGGTCAGCCTGAACTCTGTCTGTTTCTAGTGAAACTCTGGTTCAAAAACCAAAACGAAACAAAACCTCCTAACCAAACAAAAAGCCCTTCTTAGATCTCTTGGTTGGCCCTGCCCCATTCGAGGGCCTCTGTTTGGGGCCTGCAAGAGGGTGTCCCTAGGAAGGTGCCATTTTTGGAGCTAGGAGTCTGTGGTGCTGACAGTTTGGGTTTATCCCTGAACCCAGGGTTGTGCATGTCAGCAGTCTGTACAGGACAGAGTCTGTGTGTATGCAGGGGACCAGGCCTGGGGCCTCAGTGGGATGTGTGGTCAGCTCCTGGGTGGCTTTTGCTGACCTGGCCAGTGCAATGCTAGCAGAGAATGCAAGGATTCAGATTTCCCAGCCTGACTGGCTGCAAACCTGAGCAGTCACTTGGAACAGCGCCACGGCTCAGAGGCCTTGGAGAAGGTCGCGGAAGGGAAGCACTGATTGTCAAAGCGTGGTCCCTGAATAGGGGTAGGAAGCCCTAGTGCACCCCAGGGAGTCAGCAGGATCAGGTTGCCAGCCTTCTCCACTGCCATGGGGGACCGGGGCAGGGTCTGGATGTGAGTTCCAAACACCACCCCACAGCCATGCTGGAGTCTTAGGATGGAGCAGGGATGGAGCCTCTGCTTCTGTGCTATGTCCTGTGCCACTCACAGAAGTCCCAGGGCTGGGACCTGAAGACCGGAAGCTGGTGAGTCCTGACAGACCACCGTGCTGGGCCCTGGAAGATCCCGAGGAGGCTGGGCCACTCCAACCCCGCGCCTCAGTTCTTGGGGGCAGCCACAGCTGGCATCTGAGCAGGGCTACAGACTTTGGGAAGTGAGTGGCCTCCTGGGCCCCTTGTGCTGGCGGGCACACCCTGCAGTGAAGGCACTGGAGAGGTTGCTGGACATTTCCGTGACTTCCCCTGACTGAGCCAGGAAAGACCCCAAATATGGATGCACATGAGAGTGCTCCGTGCTTTCTCCTCTGAGCCAAATGAAAGGCATTGGGGGCCCAAGTGGGTTTTCTTAGCAATGCTGTGAGGTGCAGAGGGGTACAGCATGCAGAAGCCTATTCGAAGCTCTTCCCAGCACAGAGAACTCAGCTGAGGGGTGAGGGCCTCAAGGGACTGGAGAGCCTGGTGGCAGGTTCACTCTCTGGAGGGCTTCCGGCAGGTCGCTATCATCCTGGCCCTCTACTTCCTGGAACATAGTTTTCTCAGTTTGAAAACATCACAAGCCCCTTCCATTGGGCGAGTCTAAAATAAAAACAGTCAATTAAATAAACAGCTCTCCACATCCGAGGGTGATTCTATCTTTCCATACTAGAACATACATACCATGGAGTCAGACACCCGGCTTTAAAGCCCAGCATTGTCATTTACTAACTGTGTAATGTTGACCTTTCTGTTTCAGTTTCTCCATCTGCAAAATGGGGTTATTAATAATAATAGCTACACATAGGAGCATTATAAAAAATGAATTATATGCATAAACTGCTTCTAACAGTCACTGGCATATAGTTACTGGTATGTTACATGAGTGTTAAATATGCTATGTAAGTGTCAAATTAGATTTCAAGAGAGCTGTGGTTCTGTAGTATGTCGACCTAGCAAGGCTGGACTTTGTTTCCCAGAATTCTCTTCCCTGTAGATTTAGGTGGGGGTGGGCCACAGAGAGCTTCTGGAGAGATCTGGAGATCAATTACACATGGAAGACTGGAGCCAGGCCAGCCCTGAGAACAGGGAGTGATGAAGGCAAGACACGTGAATAAATTGTTCCCGCTCTGAGAATACGGAACGGAGAGCCCAAGGCAAGCCAAGCAAACAGGCTGCTAGGCAGAAAGGTATCACGTGACACCAACCTGCTGTGTGTGTGTGTGTGTGTGTGTGTATAAACATGCTGTGGTCCTTGAGCAGTTCCTTTCCTTCCATCCAGAAAGAAGGCGCCACCTGACCTCAGCTACCTGCTTGCTGACTCTTGACTTTATTTCTTCATCCTCTACCATCCTTCACCCTAAGAATTTCAAGACATGGCATTTGATCATAGACTAAATGCAGACACCAACCCTACCACACCTCCAAGAGCACAGGAGCAAGACATGCATGGGGCCCAACCCATTCCCAAGATCCCATCTTCCCTGCAGGCTGCCTGCCCTCTGGCTTCTAGCTGATATGTTACCAAGAGTTCCAACTACTGTGGATGTGGGAATAAGGGTAAAAAATAATTTTCTCAAACTGAAGGTCACACAAAATCTTCCAAGTACAGTATTTATACAAAGAGCTCTTACAATTTGCGAGATGGGGGAGAGAGAGAAAGGAGAAAGCGAGGAAAGGATTGAGGGATAAAAGAAACTAAAAAGGAAAGGTTAGAGACTAACAGGCTCTCAGTAACCACACACATCTGAAAAAATACCCAAACTCACCAGAGCTCAATGAAATACACATTATAGGGACCTTGTATCTACCAGACTGGAAACAAATGCAAACAACTGCAGTATGTTTGCTAGAAAAGACAGAGAGGACACTGCTGATGGCATTGCAAACCTTCAGGAAAGTAGCCAGACAACACCAATCACAACGGGCAACCTTAGTTTTTGACTCAGCAGTTCTGTTCTGAAGAAGTCAAAGCACCCAGGCTCCTGAACAAAGATGTTCACACCCATATTATTAGCAGTGACTAAGACGTGGGACAGGCTAGGAGATGGGGTGCTATGGAGAAGGCAGAGTGAATCTTGAGGGTTTGCACATTGTGAGGAAGGCCAGTGCAGGATGGGCTGTGAGTCCCAGCTTCCTACATAAATGCCACCCCTGCACACCATCCTTCAACCAGGGCCCTTGGCCTGGTGCCCTTTAGAGCCACTCTGGGAGACACTGGGAGGTGCTTTGAGAACTGCGGACACTGGAGATCTGTGGACACTATCGAGTAATTCTCACCTTCTTAATAGCAAGTCCGTGAGTGAACGTTTGGGCCAGCCTAGTGCCTGCTGTACAGGATACCTTCTGTTAGCTGAGTTCAATCTACAGCCAGAGAGGCTACTATGGAGGAAAGTCCTGAGGCCACCCCAGGACATGGCCAGCACACCACAGCCCCACTTACCACAGCAAACTATACCACACCCCTCCATGCAAGTGGCAGAGTTTGGAGGGAGCCTGATCACACCAACGACGCAGGGTGACACATGCAATAAAATTGTGCTTGGAGATGCTGGATTTCTAAATGAATAAAACTGAAAATCTTGTAAGGAAATGTCAGGCATAACTCTAAAACATCTATTATTTACAGAATCATTACAAATATAAACAAACATGCAAATGAAGGTGATAGCCTTTAGGGAAGAGGTTTCCTCTGGGGAAGGATGGAGAGAAATGGCCCTGGGAAACTTGGTAGGGATTTTTGTTGTTGTTGTTTCTTTAAAAGACAGTACACAGCTGGGTGTGGTGTTGCATACCAGCACTTGGGAGGCTGAAGCAGGAGGATCATCATGAGTTTGAGGTCAGCTTGGGCTGTATACAGTGAGTTTAGGGCCAGCCTGAACTAATAGCAAGACTTATGTCAAGAAGAAAGAGAGAAAAGGAGGGAGGGAGGGAGGGAAGGGGGAAAGGAGGGAGGACATTTGAAAGGAGGAGGAATCTTTGTGGGTGGAGTCCGGTGGTCCCAGGAGGAATGATTTAGTCAACTCTACAAAATCATTGACCAGCTAACAGAGGTGATGTGGATTTTGCCATCATATCCCAGGATGTAGAACTAAGGGTCCCCCCCAAGTACGGCAGACATCATTTGAAGACTAATTTACATGGCACTCTGTGCCATGCCTCCCCGACCCCAGTGTTCATACCCTCATTTTACAGATGGAGAAACTGAGGCCAAGTGTTGGGTCACACAGTGTGGCAAAACTGGGATTGGAATGGAGGCCGTGGGCAGCAGTGACCTCCTCTGTCACTCTGCTACACTTTTCCAATAGTGTCGCAAGGCCGGGTGATGAGTGGTGAAATCCGTCTGTGTAAGAAACTTAGAAACAGTTGGAGCCAAGGTTTTGGTGAGTTAGTGGACAGAGGGTCCGCTCTGGACGTTCGGAATCTAGGTGCTCCGGCCTGGAGTAGTTAGATGTCCTCGGTGTCCTTCAGTAAGCTCTGCATTAAAGCTCATTCCACAGGATGGCGGTTCTAAGTGCTGTGGAACATTGAGGTGGTGCACACCTGTAATCCCAGCACTCTGGGAGGCTGAGGCAGGAGGATTTCAAATTCCAGCCTGGCCTGGGCAGTTAGTGACTTTATGAAACCCTGTCTCAAAAAGTTAAAAAAAAAAAAAGGTGGTGCGGGGGATTAGTGTGTGAAGGCCCTGTGTCTGTCTAATCTGCAGCTCCCCTACCCCCATAAAAGTCCTTAGGTCACTGGGGTCTGCTCTCAGAGGAGACGAGGTGACACCACTCTCCCTCTCCCCCTATCTGGGGCGTGAGGACTTATGCTGACTTGGGCTCCTGCTCTGACATGCCGCGCTGGCCAGCATAAACCTGCAAGGCCGCCTCGAACCTGCAGAACTCGGACCCAAATGCTTCTCTCTTTACAACATCAGCTATTTTCTTAGAGTGAGGTGGGCTGTTGACGCAGGCACCATGAGCAACAGCGTTGGTGAGGACTGATACAAAGGCTGAGAACCACACCCTTGATATTCTGGTCCAGGCCTGACCTGGGTTTCATTCTGGCTTTTCCACTTGCTAGGTTCATGAGCTTGAGTAAGTTCTTTAAGCTTCCCAAACTTTGGTACCCAAAAAAGTAGAGTAACAAACAAAAAACCTTTCTCTAAGCTTAACGAAAAGGGCAGAGTGAGCACAAATAATTATTTAGCCTTTTGAAGCTAAGTCTGTATCATCAGGATACAGCTGCAACTAAAAGAAAAAGTAATCAGTGCTTTTATGAAAAATATTTAATCGGCTCATGTAATGAAATATCTAGTAGAAAGAACAGCATCAGGTTTGGTGCAGTGTAGCTCATGAATGTGATTTAGGACTCAGGTTCTATTAATCCATGTGTTGCCTTGTTGCCTCATGATAGCAAGATGGCTGCCACAGTGCCATACAAGTGTTAGACCAGGAAGAAAGGGGAACAAGCAAAAAACTGAGCTTCGGCTGTTTTTTTATTGGGGGAAATTTTTTTTCTTAGAGTCTTTCCTGTTGACTTCCCATTGCTCAGTGGGTGGTAGAGTTTAAGATATTTGACAACCAGCATGGTGTGGGCTCAAGAATGAGAACAGGTCAGCTGCTGTCTTGGAGGCTTCATTTTATCCCGGACAGAAACTTGTAGATGCTGAGTTGTGGGAAGATGCAGGGGATCTTGGCCCAGGGGAGGGGAGGAGAGATAATATTTATCCCCTGTACTAAAGTTTCAAAATTTTAACAACTAATACTCCACTCTAGTGCATTCTAGCTAAATATTATGTTTTCTTGGCCAGAACTGGGCCACACACACACTCTTAAGCCAATCACAGCACAGGGAAATAGGTTTGCCATAAGTGGTTTGGCCCAATCCTGATTTCATGTAACCCTGGGGTTACATGAAATGCCCACTGCTAAGTGAGCAGGAGGAAGTGTCTGCATGTACTCATCTGACAAAGATCTACTAAGTGGGACAAGGTGGGCAAAGTGTGAAGGATTGTGGGAAGTGTAAAGGATTGTGGGAAGTGTAAAGGATGATGGGAGGTGTGGCAGAGAGAGCACAAAGGACAGGCACTCACTGGAAACCCATAGTGTACATTTGGGTTCAGTTTTGAGGGACATTCTGTGGGTTTTGACAGAAGCAAAATGACATGTATCCTCCATTACAGGGACACAAAAATAGTCTCACTGTCTTAAAACTTGTAGCATCTAATCACCCCCACCCCCTGCAGACTACTGAGCTTATTACTGGCTCCTTTTTGCTTTTTCCAGAGAGCCATATAGCTAGAGTTCTACAGCCTGTTTTCTGCATTGGCCTCGGATGAAAGTCCCTCTGTGTCTGTGTGCAGCTTAACAGTCCTTTTAGCACGGTGTAGCATTCCCTTGTCTGGATCTACTGCTGTTTATTTACCTATTCACTCCTAAAAACACACTGTCGCAGGCTCTTTGTATTTTACCTGTGTGACGCAGATGATTAAAAATGGTCTTTACCTCGTGGTGTTGTTCTGAGGGATGAGCAGTAGGATGCTGGTGTTTCAGAGATGGCCTGGATTACGCCACAGAAAACCCTCAGTGGAAGGCGCCCTCGTGGGCCCACAGCACTCTGCTGTTGTCTCTTCGGCCGGTTGCTGGCCAGCCAGCTGGTGCCTGTCACCGCAGGCCTGGTAGAACGTGGCTGACCCTGAAGGCCGCAGGGCCGCAGACACTGTCCCCTCCCTTTGGGCCCAGTCTCCCAGCCTTCATCTGGAACTCGAGGTTTTATCAAGCAGTCCCTGGAAACACGAGTGGTGTGCTCTTCTTTTCTTTCCAGACAAAAGTTTATTTTTAAATAAATTGTTCCCTTCAGAGCAAGCTTCCATTGTCCTGGTCAGTCATTTTATTCCAGAGCAGACACAATAGTTCGCCTCAGCTCACCCGCAGCCTGGGCGCTCACTGGTGGCTGCAGGCTGCAGCAGGCCTGGCTCATCTGTCCCTCCTGCTGGACAGTTGTCAGCTGTGTCACGATGTTCACAGGCTGTGAGAGCTTCTGCTTTGTACCAAGAGTGAGGATCAAATAAAAGTCCTCTGTGAGCTGCCCTGGATCACCTGAGTCAAAAGAAACATTCCGAATTTAATGCCCATGTCAGGAAGGGGAGTCTATTTGACCCCCCAAAAGAAGTCATGATTCAGTGGAGAGCTGATGGCTTTGTGAATGTTTTACCTTCTGTCCTTGGTAAGGAAGCCTAGGAAACAGGCCTCAAGAGGCAGGATTTGGCCTGGTGCTTCCTTTGCTTTTTGTCTGATTTTTATATTACTAGACATTGAACCCGGGGCCTCACACAGGCTGGGCAAGCACTGTACCACTGAGCCCCAGCTTCGACCCTCATTTTTGTTTTTAAATTTTGTCTTGCTATGTTTATTTAACTTTATGTTACTTTAAAGAGAATAAAACCAAACCAAACAAAACAGAATAAAGCCAATCAGAACAGACCAATGAAAGCGATACAGGACTTCAAAACGAGATAATAGGAAATCAACAGTGGCCATCATAATGTCTCTTGTTTTCTTGAAAATAGCTGTCCAGACTAATAAAATCAAACAAAACTAAACAGAATAAAACCAATCGAAACAAAAGAATGAAAGCGTAAAGACATAAAACCAAAACAAAATAAAACAGAATAAAGTCAATCAAAACAAAATAGTGAAAGTGAAGCAGAATTTCAAAAAAGGAAAATCGGAAATCAACAATGGCTACCACGGTGCTGCTTTTTTTTTTTTTTTTTTTTTTTTTTTTTTATCGATACCAGGGATTGAACTCACGAACGCCTGCTTGCAAGGCAGGTGCTTATGCCGCTGAGCTAAATCCCCAGCCCACAGTGCTTTTTGTCATTTTCAAAATCGCTGCCCATACCATCAGACATAATAAAATCAAATAAAACAGAACAGAACAGAACACTGAATAAAAACAATAAAACAGAATAAAACAAAACAGACCAATATTGTATTTCAATAATAAGACAGAAGGAAATCCCCCATATTTGCTGTATTGCATATCGTTATCCTCATAATAGAGGCTCAGACTACCTTAGGCCTGCAAAGTCAATCAAACAATGCAAGCATTAAGCTGCTTTGGTACCTCAGTTGCTAACAACTCAGCCTGTCCTCCGGGTCAGCTGGTTGCTTATGGGTGTTCTTGTCTGCCAGCCAGCATACCAGTCGGCTCACAGGAAGGGCAAGTTGGCATCTGGTATTTCTCCCAGGCCCAGCATGGCTTCTTGCCTCACTAAGTTTCTCAAGCTGACTTTGAAATTGAATCCTGAGAGACTTCCGGGAGAACATGGCGGACAGATAACAGCAACTACCGGAGGCTCTCTGAAAAACTAGGCTCAGAAGCCAGGTATGGTGCGGACTAAAGAGACATAAGCAGGTGGAGTTATGCTCTGCTGACTCAGGAACGAACTCGGCTGAGAGAAACCAACTTGGAATGCAGTCCTGGTGCTAAAACAGGAACAGAAAAGCCTTGCTGCTGAGGCTGGACCCCGAGCCATTGGAAGCCACAATTTGGGTTTCCCGCCGCGCAGTGGCTGGCTGCCTCCACAGCGGCTCGGCAAGGAGAGAGACGCGCGGAAACTCTGAGAATGGGAGTCTGCGAACGGAGTCGAAAACAGGACGGGCAGGGAGACGTGCACTGACTTGCGCTGAGGTGAGTGAGAGAAACTGACACTCCACTACAGTTTGACTCCAGCGGACTTTCTGGGCCCGAGCAGTCCTGCGGGAGCAGGGCGCAGTGGCGACTCCAGCCACACATCCCCCTCTCGGGCAGGATTGGTGAAAAGTGCCTGGCCTGCGTGACGCTGCCGGCGGACCCCCTAGGCTGGCCCAACCCAGATCCCAGAGCCTGACAGAGGCCGGGAGGGGCAGGCCCCGCGTGGGCTGCCTGGTGCGCAGCGGTGAGTGGGAACACCTAACCGGCGCAATTCGATCAGGCTGTGGCTGACAGGGAGAGAAGCTGGGCCTCTCATATAAGCTTGCATATATAAGGAACAGAGAATATGGGAAGAGGCAGCAACAAGAAAGGCTCCTCGGCCCCCAATTCTGAGAAACAGGCAATAGCGGACACCGCATCAATAGACATAAAGCGCCATATAGAGAGCCTCATAGACCAATTCAGGAATGAAGTTATCAACGACCTGAAGCTAGAAGTATGCAAAATAGTTAGAGAAATGCTAAGCACCACCCAAGAAAAAACAGATGGTGGAATGGAAGAACAGAAAAAGAGGGGAGAATTGTTTGATGGAGAAAACAGGGAAAGCATAGAGTACGTGAAGCAGGTTCAAAGGGACTACCAAGAAACTAAGAAGTCTATCGAAGACTGGCATAACAGCTTGAAAGAAACTAAGGACAGACTATCTGAACTGGAGGGCAGACTTGTAATATGGGAGAATGAAATGAAAAACTTCTTAAAAATAACAAAGAAACAAACAGCAATAATACAAAGACAAGAAGATGATAAGAGGATCCATAACTTAAGGATTAAGAACATAAAAGAAGAAGTAGGGACACAAACAAATGAACTACAAAAGCTACTCACAGAAATAATCCAGGAGAATTTTCCTAATTTAGCAAAAGGTAAAGATACTCAGATGTATGAGGCATACAGGACCCCAGCTACCTACAACCCAAACAGAGCAACACCCAGGCATATAATAATAAAAATTCCAGAAATTCAATACAAGAACAGAATATTAAAAGCTGTCAGAGACAAGAAACAGACCACTTACAAGGGAGCACCCATCAGAATTACAGCAGATTTCTCTGCACAAACCATCAAATCACGAAGAGCGTGGGGGGAAATAATTCAAGCTTTGAAAGATAATAATCTCCAGCCAAGATTGAGATATCCTGCACAACTGTCCCTGGAAATTGATGGAAAAACAAGATGCTTCCAGGATAAAGAGGAACTGGGGGAATTTGCAACCACCAATTCAACTCTACAGAGAGTATTGCAGGATATTCTAAAAAAAAGAAAAATACAAAGAATCCAGAAATAGTGGAGGCCACAACGAATGGAGCAGAGAACAAAATAAAGAAGACAAACTGACAGCTACTGACAGAATAAGAGCTCAACAGAAATGAGGCAGAGAAGATTGGATGATAGGAACAACTATTTTGGAGAAAATGACATCTTAATAGGTAATACTGATTTAGTATCATCTTGTTTTGAAGTCTCATCTAGCTTTTGTTCTTCTGTCTCCAATGGTCTAAATAGATTGTATCTTACTGGATTTTATTATGTACGATAGTATAAGCAAAAACCTTTTAAAGACAAGGAGATTATACAGAAACCATTGTTCATTTTCTGTTAGTCGATTCTAAATACTCTGTAATGCTGTCATTCTCTTAAATGGTTTTACATTGTTTTGATATACTTAATGCTACAGTATACGAAGTTGTACTCAAGGATTTCAAGGAAAGAGACAATATAGTAACTACTTTTAGGTCAGGATTATCTGGTGGTGAAACACTATTCTGCTTAAATGGTTTTGTTTTGATCTGTGCTGTTTCGTTGTTATGCCCTCTTTTATCTCAATCTCCACTCCATTATTTACTTTTTTATTTTTATCCTTTTAATTAAAGGAAAAAAATAGCAGGATATATTATAGTAACCCACTTTGACTTTCCTTTACCTCGATTTAAAGCCCTGTATTACTCTCACCATCTGGTTTTTAACTGATGTTCCCCTATTCTGTTTTTCTGGATAGTATCAGGTTCAAAAATTTAGGCATCAGCTGTGAAGATAATGAGATTCATTATAACGCCCATTCTCGTTGACTTTTATCTACTTTTGAAGACCTACAATGTCTCCAATGTTTTGGTTTTGTCGGTTTTATTCTTTACTGTTTTGTTCAATTGTATTATAACTAACGATATAGGCAATTCTATTAGAGATAGTGGGAGGCATTATGGTAACCATTGTTGATCACCTTGTATTATGTTTTCACATTATCTATTATGTCCACCCTTTTGACTTGACCGATTCTGTTCTGTTATGTCACATTTGGTTTTACTCTCTTCCAAAAAAGACGGACAAAGCCCATTAGTACCCTCAGGTCTGTGGCCGGGGCTCGGACCCGCTGACGGACGCTCTGTGAATGAGGGCCCCACTCACCCATCAACGGCAACATCCTGTGTGTCCCTCTGCCCTTGAGAAAGCCCCCCTGATGGTTGATTCTGTGTCAATTCGGCTGGGCTGTGGGACACCTAGATGGCCAGGGAAACATTATCTCTCGGTGTATTTATGAGTGCAGTTCCAGGAGCAGTCTGCTCCAAGTGCGGAGACAGAGTTCACAAGATTCGCTCTTCCTAACATGGGTGAGCTCTGCCCACCCCGCTGCGGATCCTAGCAGAACTAAGGGCAGAGACCCCACACAGCCTTGGCAACGGGAAGGCACACCCCAGAGATGTGCAGGACACAGTTTACATGACTGGGCATGGCGGCCCTGCCTCCGCCTGCCCATGGCTCTGTCTCTCTCCTCTGAGGCTGTGCTTGGCTCTGTGGCCAGGGCTCTTGGCTCCTTCTTCTTCCTCGTGTTCTGAAGTCGATCAGTGTTCACGCCCCACTCAAGTTTCTTCCCCCTAACCCTCAGTGGCCCTAATGCACGTCGGCACTTCCTTCCGTTCCTCCTTCCCCAGCTCTGGTTTCTGCCTCCATTCGTTCTCTGAGCACAGTGCACTCGCCAAGCACTGTACCTGCTTTCCACTGAGAATCCTACCAGGCACTGGGTGTGCAAAAAAACAGGACACACACACACACACATACACACTGTGCACACACACACACACACACACACACACACACTGATATTCCAAGCATTCATTTCTAGATTCTCACACACACTAAGGAGGATCTCTGTCTCCATTCTCCACCCTTAAATTTAGACTGATCCACACCTAGGAGACAAAGTGGAAGGGGTCAGAAAGTAAAGACAAAGTTTGCAAATGCCGTTCTCCTGCAGGGGCCGGGCAGAAGGACAGGGGAGAGGCAGTGAGCAGTAAGCTCCACGGTGAGTGTTCTGGGAGCTTGGGGAATTAAATATGTAGAGCAAAGGACAGAGGGCCAGAGATAATAAGTGGGCCTTCAGGTAGGTTTTTGGAAGTCCAGCAAGTCTATCTCTTTTACAAATTCCATGGAGACTGAAAAAAATGGTTTTAAAAAAATATCACATCAGATGGATGTTTTTAGAAATAAGGCCTAGGCTGGGCTGTAGCTCAGTGGTAGAGAGCTTGCCTGGCATGCACAAGGCCCTGAGTTCAATCCCCAGTACCACCACCAAAACTAAAACAAGCAAACAAACAAACGTGGCCTAGAGCTTCCACGGCCTTGAGGTGGCCCGGATAGAGGAAGGAGATGCTGTTTGTTAAGGGTGCAGTCACGCTGGCAGGACTCCCTGCTCAGACTTGACCGTCTTTGTATGATTAGTAGCTGTGTCTTCAAAGCTTCACACGGTTTACCTTTCCAAAGACGGTCCCAAAGGCTTATCCTAGAGGCCACTCCCTCAGCCAGGTACCTCACATAATTCCCTGAAATTCCTCACTAGCCACACGCTAGTTCTTTAAGAGTTCTGAGTGTCATGCTTGCATCTGTGAAATGGGCACATTATCTACCCACTGTATTTGCCATTAAATACACAAATATTCCAATAACAGTGCAGAGTGGGGATTCTCGATAAAAATCAACCAAAAGCAACCCTTTTAGGCACCTACCATGGTTTTACTGACTTAGGTCCAGCTGCTCGCTGCTAGGAGCCAATATTAAGAGCCAAATGTTGGTGGGAAGGAAATCAGTTTTATTAAAGAGCTGGCATTTTTGAGGACATAGGGAGGGGGCATTGCCTCAGGAGTCTAGCTTAGGGAACTCGGCCATGAAGGGCTTTCATGTGGAGGGGAAGGAGGAATAGAGAGCCATGGACAAGAAGACAGCAGACTACATGCTGGGTGACCCAGTATCCTGTTTCCCTTCTTTCCTGGCGAACATATCACAGGGGAGCTGTAGCTCCTGTCCTCCTTCAGACAGACAAAATATTCTGCGAGTTAAACCTCCAGCGGCTGTGCGCTGTGTGCTGGTTGGCACACTGTCCTAAAGAATGAGAAAGAGTATTTCCCAGTCTGCATCATCTAAGGGCCACTAGTAAATCTAGAGAAAGACTTCGGCGGTTAACAACCTAATCATTTAGGTGTAGTCTCTCCTTAGACCTTGCAAAGGGTCATGCAGCTGGGGGCTGATCTGCACCTGGGGCACAGGGCCTGTCCCACCCTCCAAGTGCAGATGTCCCCACAATTCCACCTGCAGGTGCCTTCCTATCCTGGGTCCTGCTCTCCCCTTCCCAATTCTGCTAAATTACCCCAGGCCACTACGACTTTTTAATTAGAAATGTGAAAATGGAAGTTTATTTTTTTATAAACCACACTAACTCTGCTCCTATCCCCATTTCTGTGCAGCTTTGAGGATTATCTTTCCCACCTGATGGAAAGACATCCTCCACCCCCTTTCTCAGGGACACGAGACTGTCCTTCCTCAGCCTCTCTACTCCTCCACCCCACATTACACTTTATCATTATTGGTGGCCTTTCTCTAAAAAGAGCGAGGTGGTAAATATGTTTGGTTTTGTAGAACATTCTGTTTCTGAGACAACTACTAATCTTTGTGGCTTAAAACCCTCCCACTCAGTGCGTAACTGAGGAGTGGGGCTGTGTTCAGTGGATCTGTATTTACAGAAACAGATCATCAGCCTAGTTTGCGATCCCTTTTTTTTTTTTTTTGGTATAAATCCTGTGGTCTTCAGTCATGGAGACTTAAGTTGCTGGTACTCAAAACCAAACCTTTGAAATCCACTAGATCCCTTTCTCTAGCCTGGTCCTCAGCCCTGGTCCTTGCATCTGCAAGTCTCAGCTAGTATTAGTTACATGACTGCTTTTCTGATAGAGATTGTGAGCATCCCTCAGTGATCCAGAAGTGCACGTCTGGATTTCCGTTTGTTAGGTACCTCCTCTCTCCCTAGAGAGCAGCAGCAGGATGGACCAATTCCTGGCCTCAAATCTTCGTGATTCTTTTAGCACCAGCTCCCCTTGAGAATTTCTTTGAAATGCAAATTCCCAAGTCTGCCTTAGACCCACAGCATTGGAGACCCTGGAAGGCCCAGGCCTCTTCAGAGTCCTCCTGAGGAATTCTGATGTTCCTAGTTTTTAATCCCTGCACCAGAGTCTTGCATCCTGTATCTGGTATCTTCTTGCCTTCACGTTTTAGTCCATGCCATTTTCCCCCTCCCAAAATGCTTCTCATGTGTCTCTACCACCCTGCTTCAAAACCTTTTACCTCCAAAACTGTTCTAGAAACCATGCCTTACCTATTTTCTGGTCCCACATGATCACCATGGTTACTTGCTTCTTTTCTTGTAATTTTCACTTGCTCATGCCAGGCCTCTGTAAAGGGCCGAGGAAAAATCACATCTTCAACACTGTGGCAGCTCCCGCAACACCTGCAGCTCAGTGTCCAAGAGGGCATCTCAGCCAGCGCGGGAGGCGTGGCCCGAGGGAGTGGAGGAAGCCAGGGACCCAAGGATGGAAGGTGCTGAGCCAGGAAGTGGTTAGGGCAATGCTGACCTTGATCTTCACACCACACCTGAGGTGAGGACTTATAGCGGTCAACATGGCCTGGGGCCACCACACGGGGGCCACTGCTGACAGAGAAGCCCAGTAGCCAGGCAACCTCCTGCCCCAAGAGTAGCAACTGACATCTGTAGCCACCACAACACAGCAGCTGTGGGATGAGTGCCTGGACCCCCAACGGGGAATCTAGACAGGGCTCCAGCATCATCTCTTGTATATACGACAGATGTGCAATAGATAGCTGGTATAGATTGACTCCTACCTGCCCACCCCACTTTTACCAGACACTCCTGCTCTAAAAGAATACTGCGGTGTGGGCGAGCTGGTGAGTTCTCAAAGCATTTTACAGACACACACAGCTGACAAAATGAATGCCAAATTCACCTTGTGCACAGAAGTAGAAGTCCAGAGAATCCCCACCTCCCTGCCCACAGGCGGGCGGAGTGTGGACAAGGATGAGCAGGAAAGGACCGCTGAGGGTCAGGGGAAAGTTACAGTCACAGCCACCGCCACCCTCCTTGAACAAAGGCAGCCTCGCTGTGTCTCACGTGGGGGCTGAGTCATCTCCTTCAGGCTCCCCGAAGTCCAAGTCAGCCAGAGGGGAGTCCAGATGGCTCACCCACGACTAGGTCTTCTCGGATGGTTCTGGGAGGATTAATTAGTCACCAGCACAAGTCTGCAGGCCAGATCGGGGGCAACACAGCAGGGCGGGGGGAGGGGAGGGGCCTGCATGTGACACAGATGGTGTCTCATCCGAGAGCTCTGCTGAGAAATTCCCACGTGGGGATGAAGCGAGTGTGCGGAACACGTCAGCTCAGCGGTCCCCGGTCCTGACTGCACATGAGAGTCACTGGAGGGCTTCCAGAACTACCAGTGCCCGGACTCTGCCCTGGACACTGTGAGTGCCGCCTGGCAGGCAGCCTGGGGATGACTCTGTTTAAGGCTCCCTGGGGGGCCTCAGTGTGTCCTTAGCGAGGCAGCACACTGCTGTGGAGCTCCCCCCGCCCCGTGGAACTGCAGCCAAGGTTCATTGCCTTTTCTCCCCGCATTTATTATCTGTCTGTGCAGTCCTGGTTTCAGGACAATTGAAACTGGAAGGGGAGAAGGATTTGAGGAATCCAAAGGTTTGAGTTTAAAGTCCAAATCTGTCTCCTTGCTGCTGCGTGACTTTGAGGAAGTCACTTAAGTCATTTGGTTCCCAGTTTCTTCACCACTAAAAACGGGGGAAGCTGGGTATGGAGGTGCGTACCTATAATCCCAGCACTCTGGGAGGCTGAGGCAGGAGGGCAGCTTAGCAAGACCCTGTCTCAAAATAAAAAGTAGGCCTGGGGTGTAGCTCAGTGCAAAGACCCTGAGTTCAAACCCCAGCACCACAGAAATAAACTACAAAGCAAAGATTGGTGTAAGGGCAGAGATAAAGTTGGGGAAGCTCCTCCTCCTCTGCTCCTAGCTGAGTTTGGAGATCGCATCAAGACTCCCATTGCCAGACTCCCTGCCTTCGCCTCCACAGCAGCTGGGTGTGGGTAAAGGGCAGGAAGCAGAGACCCACATCCCTGAGGACACTTCTTCTCCTCTAGGCAGTCTCTGTGACCTCATGGGGGGACCCATGTGAAATGACCTGGTCTAGTGGGTGTCCTCCTGGGCGCCCCCGGAAGCTCTGTGATTCTGCCTCTTGCCGGCCATGGAGAGCGCTCCACACAGAGTCTACTGCAGTGGCGCCTGCTGGCCACATTCAGGGGACAGTGGGGTCGTCCCTGGACCTCGTCCACGAGGCACCTCGCCCTCCTAAGTGCCTTGCTGCCTCCCAGCTCCGGTCAGTCTTGCTTGGCAGCTGTGCCTTAGTCCCCAGTCCTCTCTGCCAAGTTCCCCTTTCCTTAAAGGACAAGCTGGCTCTAAGGACAATTGATACATGTGTCCGCTGAGATGCTAGAACTCCAGGGACTTTCCAAAGTATGTGTGGCTGTGATTTCCACAATTCTCTTCCCCGGGTCCTCTTCCCATCTCACCAAGCCCTGCTCTGGGAGGGCTGTGAAGGCTGCATCCTGCGTCAGAGGAGGAGGAGATGGCTGTTTGCTAATCGGTGATGCCTTTATTAAAATTGTATATCTCGGCTCCAGGTTCCCTCTTCCTCTTCAAGATGGCTATACTGGTGGTACCTACGGGTGCTCCGGACACAGCCCCAGCCCCAATTCCAACACCAGCCTTGGCCCCAGGCACCAGCCCCACTGCAGACCCAGGTATTTGCACTGTCAGGTCCGGCTTTCCTGGGGCCCTTGCCGGGGGCCGCATGCCTGGGCTGCACCCATCATTTTGGCCTCCATGGTAGGCAGTCATGGTAACACAAAGAGGGTGCTGCCTGAGTAACCAGAGCTCCACTGGGAACTGCTGACAGTGGAGGTCGCCCACTGCTTTTCAGAGCCGCCCAGTGAGTCAGAAGATGAGGAGCGGTTGATAGGGACTGTGCTTAGAACATGCGTGAACTGCACGGAAAATGCTCTCTAAGCAAGCTCCTTCTGCACTGGTGCGCCAGATGCCACGACAGCACAGAGCGCACGGCTGACCCACGTGTACCCCAGCCAGGAGGCCGCAACCCACTCACCTGACCAGGGACATGAGTCAGGAACAGCCCAGGAATATCGAGGCCTGCACCAGCACTTTAACGGGTGTCCCAGGAAGACCATGGGACGGTGTTCCCATGGTTGGTGGTGATGTATGATGACACTGAATGCATTGGAGTCAACCTGATCATGAAGACCTGTTTTAGCCAGGGCGATTGGTCTCTTGAGTGACTTACAGAAAGTTGGGGGAGCACCGACTCTCGTCCAGGGGGCCCTAAGTACCGTGTCACACTATGCAGAGGTGTGCTGCTGCAGAGGCCTCAGATGCCCACACTGTGGACCACTTCTTGATGAGTCTGGTTAACCAAGTACCCCAGATAGTTCCTGAGGACACCGAGACCATGTCCACAGTATCAGTGACCTGCTGATGGTGACCCACCTGGCCACTCTCACCCAGCCATGGATCACCCTCAATGAGAAAACTCGTACGCCAGGACTCCTGCCAGTCTCTGGTCTCCCGTGTAGGGCCAGCGTGAAGTGGAGGAGAAACAGTTTGTGGTCTTGAGCTATAAAGTAAGTTAGCTGCTTGTGACCTAAAGCAATACAGTTCACCTTTTGTAAATGAAAAAAAAAATGTGTAGCTCTCAAAACCTACGACAGGATCTAAACCAAACCCAAGAGGTCGCGACTCAGGGGATTAAGAGTTGTGTCCTGCCCTTCCCACCAGGAAGTCTTCTGAGAAGCAGATATGAAAATGAGGTTCCATGTGTCCAAGATCCAGGGGCTGAAATGACTTCAAGAAGCAGGGAGAGGACCGGGAGCGGGCAGGGGGAGCAGGAGGGGAGCACGGAGAGGGCGGGACCTCAGACTGCACTGGCGGCAGATGAAGACCCTGGCGGTGCTCCGTCCTCCCGTCACTAGTCCTGCTGGCGGCAGTGAAGCTGTTCTGCAGGACGAAGGCCCTTTGGGGGTGCAGACCTGCTGGCAGACACCCCCATACTGCACCGTGGAACCTGCCCTCCCCCACAGCCACAGCCCAGGAAGGAGGCCGGGCAGGACACCATCTCTCCCGCTTACAGAAGAGGATGTTAGGCTCACAGAAGCTGCAGCAACTGACCCAAAGCCACAGACTCAGTAAATGACAGAGGGTGGAAAGCGAAGTCCTGAGGGGGCACTCAGCACAGCTGTGTCTTCTTTCAGACAAAATCCCTGCCTGAAGGGTTAGGGTTAGGGTAACCCTGAAGGGTGCTTATCCTGGCTGGCAGGGCAGAAGCAGCAGTTTACACACTGACTGACCTCAGATGGGGTGACAGCTCAGGACAGCAGGACAAACCGCGATGGGGAGGAGGAGAAAGGTGCCCCTGGACGTTGTCAGGGAGGCTGCTCTTGGGTGGGAATCTGCTTAATCCTGCGCAACAGACCGTGCAGGCCACGGCAAGGTGTGGGGTGGACTGAGTCACAGACAGCATCATGGGCCCTGGGGCCGAACAGGCTGAGCTCAAGGGGGCAGAGCGGGTGTGGGACCCGGGGCACAGGACGGGAACACGGACCTGAGAACTGGCAGAAGCTGAGTCTGGAGTTATTTTAACTTCGGTGGAAGCCCATCTAGGAGGAGTTAGGATGGTGCCTCTATTTTCAGTAAGTTTCTGCACCGTGGGGAGGGACCTGTCTTCCCGAGGTGTCCGCAGGTGCAGAGGTGATCTTCGTGGGCCTTGGTAGGAGGGTGGGGATTGGAGAGGAAGGGCGGCAGCTAGCTCTCTTCCCTCATCACCCTCCTCTGCAGAGCACTTGGGCTCACTCCCAAAATCACAGTTCTTAACTATGATTCATATCTGGGGAGCTTTACAAAAATTACTGAAGCCCTATTCTGGCTGACTCTGATTTCAGAATCTGGGCTAAAAGGCTGAATATACAAATGGACAATAATCAGAACTTTAATATAAAACTAAGAGACATAAAAATAGAGCAGGAGCGTGCACACCCAGAATCCTAGCACTCTGGGAGGCCGAGGCAGGAGGGTACCAAGGTTAAACCTGCACAATTTAACAAAACCCTGTCTCAAAATCTAGAGGGGGTGAGGATGTGAGTCATGATAGAGCAGCTTTGGGATCAATCCTTAGCACCTCAGACGACAACAGCAGAACCCTCACCCACGGTCGGCAGCATCCGGTCCAGGAAGCCAACCACAGCCGGCTCCAGACACTTGGGACTTAGTCACTGTTGGTTCCCTAACTTTTGTGTATTTCCAACCAGGAACCTTCCAGGCAATGTCAGGCATGCATTCCTGACCATCCACCCAGCGCCACCACTTTTGGTCCACAACCTGTAGCTGCTCCACACCCGTAACCCCTGAGGACCTGGAGAGAAACAGTGTGAAAGGCAGGAGTGCTTGGGCCCAAGGCCACGTCCCTCGTGGCTGGGGAGCAGGAAGCGGACACGTGAGTAAGTAGGAGCCGCTCAGTATTCCAGATATAGCTCCGGGCACTGCGTGAGCAAGAGGGATCCATCGCTCCAAGTCCAAGATCAAGGCACCAGCAGATTCGGTGTCTGTTTTTTCTAGATGGCACCTTCTACACGGCCTCACGTAATAGACAGGACCAACATGCTCCCTGCAGCCTCTTCTATAAGGGTACCGCTCAATAACCCCATCACCTCCCAATGACCCTCTCCTGATGCAACTGCACTGGGAACTGAGTGGGGCAGGACACAGACTTTCACGCCGTAGCAGAGTGGAGGGGCAGCTGTGCGGTAGCCGGGGCTCTGCTTTCCTTGGTGACCTGGGGAAAGGTTGATTGTCAGTACCTGCGCATGCCCACGAGGTGCATCTTTTAGGAGGTGGCTGCTCCTCTTGCTCATCTCAGGAGCGATGTCCAGTTAGGTCAAGACCTTTGTCAGGGGTCAGGGGCTCCCTTGAGAATCTAAAGAAAGCTGCTGACTCTCTCCTCTGAAGATGCAGTAGCACGACTTTCAATAAAACCCTGTGTCATTTGTGGGAAACTGGATCTCTTGAAACACATCCCAGAATCCCAGGTTAAGGCGCCCTGCCGGAGGAAATTCACTCATCCCT